ACCCCCCCCCCAAACCCCCGTCCCCCAGGCCGGCTTTTCCTTATTCACCAATACCCCCCCAAGAAGCAGCTCACAACTTCCCAGCGGTCTAAGGTCCACAGCGTGAAAACAACTGCCCTTGTCAGCACCAGGCAGGTCACTAGAACAAGGTCCCCTCTGTTTCCTTGTCACCAGTCAACATTTCCCACTAAGCCTCCCGCTCTTCGATCTTTTCACAAAAGCACATAAAAGCCCTTAGGGTACAAGATCTTGCTACAGATGGTGCTGTAAGATACCCAGACCTCTTCCTTCCCCTCCACCAGCCAGGTTGCAAAAAAACCTGGCTACGCAGCCTTCCGCTTTGCGTTGTTGGCTTTCAGGCAGGCTCCGCTGAAGCATTTTCTCCGTTCCTCTTAACTGCTCCCTATTTTGGCACAACAAACAGCTCTGAAAGAGGATCAGGGACTTAAGCATCAGCTCAAGCTTGTGATGCAATAGCTGAGCTGTGTGGAGAAGCTGGCCCTGAAGGATGCCACCAGGCAGGATTGAGGCAACTGGCGGCTTTACAAGGCTGGTGTTCCCCTGGGAAGCTGGTATTACGTAGAGGACTGGCCTTGCTACAGCATTTATAAGCCGCCTCCTCTGGAAACCTGTGCTGCAGTGACCACTGCAGCTTGGCATGGAGATTATCCACCAGTACGAGCAAGAAAAAGAATGGCCAGCACATGACACCCATCTTCCCATCATTATATTTTAAGATTAAAACCAATGGAGGATGAGCAAACAAATCTGTCAAGAAAACCCATGAAGGACAGGAAACGAAATGTCACATTTTTCTTTATTAGAGACAACAGTCAGTATATCAGCGTTCATTTAAATCTTCCAGAGCAGCCTGACCATGGATGGCTTTTTTCCAGGCACCCACAGAGATGACGAAGCTCCAAAAACAAATCAAAGAGAAAAAACAAAACAAACATCTCGATCATAAATTAATGCCCTTAAATAACTTCTCTCACTACCACTAGAATGTAATGACAGAGAAGTCAAAACCCTTGCCTCCGAGAGGCACACCACTCCCGGCAGTTGTGCTGCCCGCTAAATGAGAAAGTGCCAGCTGCATCTGGGATCAGCCCACAAGGGCGGAGGGAGAAGAGAAAAGGAAGGAGGAAAGAAGCAGCCTCACTTACCTTGGTTTTCCTTTCCCTCCTTCCCTTGCGCTGGGGAATGGGATGTTAGCTACTGCTGGCCCAGAGGCAGCACAAAATGGCTGTGCAGAGAGGAGAGCGGGGGGGTGGTAGGAGTGGTACGCCATTCACGGACGGCACTCAAAATCTCAAAGTCCCTGCCTAGAGGCCATGTCTTCCTCTCTCCACAAGGCTTCCTCTCTCTCCTCTCTAGTTTAAGGATGGGATACCCCCTTTACGGTTCTAAGGTGGGTCCTGCTGGCACCTGCACAAGGAAAGAGTGCACAGGACTGGCTGCACACCCTCAAGAAGCACGTTTGGTTATTGTCCATCGCAAGGAGCCGTAAGAGAGGAGGACGACGGAAAGGAAATGCACGCAGCTTTGCTGTTATTCCCAGGAACCTGTCTGCCTCAGACAAGTACGTTCACCTCGGCACCTCTGCCGAATAGGAGGGCTCCTTCCTGAGCTGGGTCCCTCCTTCCCGCAGGGAAAGGCAGAGCCACATCCTGCAGGATTCTGGGGTGTAGCTATGGAGTGTGCAGACAGTGCCAGCTGTGCAGGAGCTCAGCAACTGTGAAGATGATGGTAGCCAGGGGAAGAGACTTCCAAATCTTTGCGGCAGGGTTGCAGCAGCTCAGTGTGCCAGGCAACTACTTCCACCAGCCCCTGCTTCGAGAGCTTCCCCCAGCCCCTTGGATGGGGGGGTGATCAGATCACATGTACCACCACCAGCTCTAGGCATCAGTTCGGACTTGCTCCTATTTCTTAAAAACAGTGGTGCTGAGAGCGGTGGGAGTGATCATGCTACAAAAATCAGCCCTGCAGCTCATGGGGACAGGTGGAAGAGGCAGAGGAAGCTTAAAACAGGCTTAAAACAGAGAATGGGAAGCTTGAAGACAGTGAGCAGTGGGGCGAAGAAAACAATGCTGGTGCTAACACTTTCCCATAGCACAAGGGGAGGACAGAAGGGGCTGTTCTTGCCATTCGTAATCATCTCCAGATGTTTAACTGGCTTCCATGTGCCAGAGGGGAGTGGTGCATCCAACACACTCGGCAGTGTCCTGTCTGTACACAGAGTCACATGGCGGTGTGGTAGGGCATTTTCCTCCCCACACCTCAGTACCCGAGTTAGGCAGCAGAAGTCTCTGGAGGAAAAAGGAATATCCGGGCAAACAAGCAAGGGAAGAGAGAGGAAAGCAGAGGCTGGTCCCAATCCAACCAGCCACCCCCACCCAAAGCAGAGGAGGAATCCCAGGCTGGACATACACAGAAAGTCACGGAGGATGAATCGCCATGTGAAATACATGTTTTTATAACAGTCTGCAAAGTCTTTCCTCTGGCCGTGCCGGCACACTCAGGCATCATCAATGAGCTTTTCACCATTTGCATCCTCCTTCCCGCTACCCTCTCTCTCGCTTCCTCCTTCTTCTTCTTCTGCCCCGTCCGTGTATATGTCCTTCTGCCCATAGTTGAGAGTAGTGCGGGCAAGGTCCACCTCAATGGGAAAGACATCTGCATCTCGGAGCACGGCATAGCAGTCATCGTAGTACTTGGACATCGTGGAGACAAAACGCTGGAGCTGGAACACGATGTCTTGCACTGTAGTGGAGACAAGTTGGGAACAAATCAGGCAAACCCCCCTTCACAAGCAGAGCATGAAGGCTGTGATCAAGCCTCCCTCGCCAGTAATAGTTAGTCTCCTACGCATTAACCCCTTTTGGCCTCTGAGGGTGGATGTCTCGGGCACAGCCACAGA